CTAGTGGGCCATGCTCATGGAGAACATTGCCCAACTCAATCTCTAAATTTATGCCAGGCCTAAGCCCAGCAGATACACTGAGCTTCCTAATAAATCTAGGGTGTACAGATGGTTTTTTATCCTCTGATTGTCATTATTGGCAACTTGTCTGAGTTCAGCCGCCTTCTCCTTAATTGGGTGTGCCATGCGTGCACCATCCTCAAAGCTGCTCCATGTGCCATCTTTAGTCTCTTCAACTACTATATCCACCATCTCTCTACCACAATGATGCTCTTCTTTTGAATTTGTAGCTGCCTTATCCATCTTATCACTATCACAAATATGTTCCAACCTCTGAACATGTGCCACATCATCACAAGATGCCAACTCAACTTTATCCCCTTCCACTCTCTTTGCCATTTCACCTTCATCTTTCACAAGCCTTTCTGGTTTTTCATGCTCTGCTCTAGCAATCTTATTGGAGTTGCAATCCTCCTCTATATCAATAGATAGATTGTGATCTCTCACATCATTAAACTGTTCTTCACATACCAAGATTGGAACAACTCTACCCTTGCACTCCAGATTGATTTCTTTATTAATCCATTCCATGCATTTAGTTGTAATCCTAACTCTGCTATAGCAGAATGATACTGGTTGGCTGATATCACCATAAATATTGAGAACCTTTCCCCAATGGCCTCTTAATTTGTTGAACGTATCTCTGTTCCAAAGATTTAATGGGATGCCATAGCATCTCAACCATAAGCATCTCTCCTGAGCTAAAGGCATGTTCGGTTTCCATTCCGTAACAAATTCACACCATTCATGCAGTCATTCATTCACTAAACTAAAATTTGTTTTCGTTTCCTCTTTGGACTTTAAAGTTAGTACTACATCCCTTCCTCCTCCTTGTCGAATCAGAGTGTGGCCCAGCCCTTATCTTTTAGTGTTTTCTTAATGCTGGACAACGTGTACTCATTTTTTAGTCTTGCTAGTATACTTTCATATAGCCACCCATGGTCATCGTCATTCACTTTAATGGTAGTGCGAGTTCTACCTAGTATTGTGCATTCACCTATTTTTAGTGCATCAGCAAAGGATTTACTAATGTGCTCTCCTCCATTACGTTGGATGTGGGCTACTCTATCTCTTCCTTTGTCTAAAGGATCTCTTCTGGTGGGGTTGGATTGAGGGTTATTTTTGCATTGTTCTCTGTCATGCTCAGCATATTTGACTTCGAGTGCCTTATCCTCAACCCACAATCCATAAGCTTTCTGAATTGCTGTGCTTGCTGTAACCGAGCAATCGAATCTCACGAATCCAAACCTTGTGTTTGTTACTTTCCTCCTCTTTTGTGGGATAAATACATCTTTCTGTTTTTTGAAACAGCCAAAAAACCTTTATTGATGTAAATCAACCAATAATACAATTACAGAGATGAACATCAACAAAGACCAAGGGTGCTAAGAGCATCAAAGCTACACAAGCCAATCCCAACTAGGTTGGCACCGGCTAGAAAGTCCAATTATATGCTAGCACTGCCCAAAGTTGGAGAGAGCCCAACTGAATTGCTGTGCTTGCTGTAACCGAGCAATCGAATCTCACGAATCCAAACCTTGTGTTTGTTACTTTCCTCCTCTTTTGTGGGATAAATACATCTTTCTGTTTTTTGAAATAGCCAAAAAACCTTTATTGATGTAAATCAACCAATAATACAATTACAGAGATGAACATCAACAAAGACCAAGGGGGCTAAGAGCATCAAAGCTACACAAGCCAATCCCAACTAGGTTGGCACCGGCTAGAAAGCCCAATCATATGCTAGCACCGCCCAAAGTTGGAGAGAGCCCAACCACAAAAAGAAAACACAGATAACACAGGGAGCAAAAACACACAACAACTGAGAAAATTACACACATCTCCCTCTAAGGCAACATCTCACTTGCCTAAGATTAAGCAAGAAATCCTGCACTGAAAAAAGATACTTAGAATAACTAGGATTCAACCATAGTGCAATCCTTACCTTTATCACTTCACACAGCTCCACCAAATTAGGAACAGATGCATTGAACACACAATCATTCCGGTGCTTCCATATAGACCATAACACAACCAACGGGATCTCTCTCTAGATTTTCCTCTCTAACCTCGTAAACCATTGACCATCCCACCATAAGAGAATACCTTTAACAGAGTCAGGAAGAGCCCTTTCAAGATCCCACCAATCCAATATTGCAGACCACACCCTCCAAACAAAGGGACAAGAAACCAGTACATGATTCACTGATTCATTCTTATTCTTACAAAAAACACACAAAGTTGAAACATTACTTGGAAGGACACCGATTCTTTGGAGGAACACTAATGTCTTAACTCTACCTCTCCAAGCTAGCCAAGTAAAAAATTGGACTTTAGGAGGCATGTAAGAAAGCCATACCAGTTTACTTAATCTTAATTGAGGCCCTGTTGAAGCTAACAAACCTTGATAAACATGGCGCACTGAGAACTCCCTTGAGGATGATGTTTTCCACACAGGGCAATCAGATTGATCTGCTACACAGATTGGAGCTGCTACAAGAGAGTTTCTAAGCCTGGTAATCTCAGAAACCTCCCAATCATACAGCCTTCTTCTAAACTAACACTCTCAATTCCCTTCAGAAACCTTTCTATCAAACATGGATCTAAATGATTCCTCCTTATCCACCACCAAGCTATATAGACCAAGAAATTCATCTTTAAGACAAGAACCATTCCACCATCTGTCCATCCAGAATCGAACATTATTCTCATTCCCAATCTTAATTTGAAAGTTATTCAAGTAATACTCCAAGAGGGATAAATACATCCTTGACTATTCTAAACTTAGTGAAAAGTTTGAACAGACCTTTAGGGTCCAATGAGTGTGGTAGATTATCTACAAACACAGTGAACCAGCCCTTCGTTGAACTTTTGCCTTATGCTCCTCTGCCTTGCCTTTACTTTACCATGGGAATCTAATCTCCTTGCTCCATTGTCATTTTCAGACATTATGTGACACCTTGCTAGTTAGTTCACCATTCTTGATATATAGGGTTTGAATAGCTAACCACCACCCAAATTTAACATGAAACTATAGTGTGAAGGTGTTCTTATTCTTACAAAAAACACACAAAGTTGAAACATTACTTGGAAGGACACCGATTCTTTGGAGGAACACTAATGTCTTAACTCTACTTCTCCAAGCTAGCCAAGTAAAAAATTGGACTTTAGGAGGCATGTAAGAAAGCCATACCAGTTTACTTAATCTTAATTGAGGCCCTGCTGAAGTTAACAAACCTTGATAAACATGGCGCATTGAGAACTCCCTTGAGGATGATGTTTTCCACACAGGGCAATCAGATTGATCTGCTACACAGATTGGAGCTGCTACAAGAGAGTTTCTAAGCCTGGTAACCTCAGAAACCTCCCAATCATACAGCCTTCTTCTAAACTGACACTCCCAATTCCCTTCAGAAACCTTTCTATCAAACATGGATCTAAATGATTCCTCTTTATCCACCACCAAGCTATATAGACCAAGAAATTCATCTTTAAGACAAGAACTATTCCACCATCTGTCCATCCAGAATCGAACATTATTCTCATTCCCAATCTTAATCTGAAAGTTATTCAAGTAATATTCCAAGAGGGATAAATACATCCTTGACTATTCCAAACTTAGTGAAAAGTTTGAACAGACCTTTAGGGTCCAATGAGTGTGGTAGATTATCTACAAACACAGTGAACCAGCCCTTTGTTGAACTTTTGCCTTATGCTCCTCTGCCTTGCCTTTACTTTACCATGGGAATCCAATCTCCTTGCTCCATTGTCATTTTCAGACATTATGTGACACCCTGCTAGTTAGTTCACCATTCTTGATATATAGGGTTTGAATAGCTAACCACCACCCAAATTTAACATGAAACTATTGTGTGAAGGTGTTTTTACATATGGCTAGGGTTATAAATCTAGCTCACCAGGTAGCGGTTCACTTGAAGCCCCGCCCGTGGTCTGGTGCAACCCAGCCTGACCCGGCTCGATAAGCACCATTTTTTTTTCCCTACCCAATTTCATTTTGATATATATAAAAAATTTCATTTCATTTCATTTTTTTTTTTTTATAGAAAAGACTATGTACGCATCTTATAATTAAATAAGAAAATTACGTAATTTCATACTTTTTGAGTCATAATTGCAAAACATAACATAACCAAATATCAATCATAATTAAAATAATGTCATAATTTAAGAAGAAAATTAGTCATAACTAAAGTATAAAATAACATAACTTAATACTTTGTCATAACTATAAATAATAAAAAAATAGAAAGTCATAACTAAACATCACACGAGTCATAATTAAATAACTTTCATGAATCATAACTAAAATAATATCATAATAAAAGAAGAAAATTACATAATTTCATATTTTTTTAATCATAACTAAAAAAACATAAGTCATAAATATAACTATCTCATTAATCATACCTAAAATACTATAGTATAATTTTTCTTTTACTTTTTAACCCTCATAAATGATCTATTTATACTATCAATTATTTTTCCGACAAAAAAAAAAGAAAAGAAGAGGCCCACTAACCCCGGCCCAAGCCCAGGCCGGCATCCCTATTTTGAGTGGGCTTGGGCCTAGATTTTTGCCATGTGAACTAACGCGGTCTAAATTTCGACGAGAGACTGCACAGCTTGACAGTGGGACAGTTTGAGTCTGACCCTGGCCAAATTTACCCCCTTACACTATAAAAATAGCAAAAAAAATATGAGAGGATATATTTTGTTGTCAAAGAATATCCAAATACACACTAACAAATGTGGAGCTGTTAAAGATCTCAGAAATTAGCAATATCACAAATTCAAAATAAACCAAATCAACCTTAGAATCTATTCTTTTTCTCTTGTTTTTTCTCTCCTAAAAATAACTTTTTCCATTCTATTAAAAACCAAAACCTAAATAAAAATTTGCTTGTCCAGTTGTCCGAAAACAACGATAAGCCCTTCAAATTAACTCTTCACTTTTCCAACCCTAAACCACTATTTTCCAATCAATCAAAAAAAGAAAAAAGAAGATTTTTTTTTTCCCACTTCTATTCTCTATCTCTCTTTGATGCAGTTTGAACAATCCGATGGGATGTGGGGTTTCAAGATTACATGCCGATGAACGCCTAGAAGCTCTCAAGAGTGAGTTACCTCATGATGGCAAGCCGGCTACTCCTCTCCGACCTCATTTTCCGGGCACCAGTGCCTGGAAAGTCGCGGCTTCACCCGACGATAGCTTAACCAGTTTTATGTCTTCGCCAGGCAAGAAGGAAAGCACGGAGGCTACGAAAAAAGACAATGAAAAGGAGGAAAAATTGTTAGACAAAGTGGATGGGACTGCAAAGAGCAAAGAAGGTGGTAATTTTGAGGATGAACGTGACGATGAAGAAACCACAGATTTCCCAGGCTCGCCAAGCTTTAGAGTATACTTTATTAACAATTTGACTGATGATGACGATGAGGATAGTTATTGTGCGTGTTTTGATTTAGGAATGTTTTTCAAAAATTTTATTATTTAAAACATTTAGAATATTTTTTTTAAATTGACATCTAACCATGCAATGCAGATAAGAAAAATGGCTCAAAGCGTATGACGTCTCCGCGTAGCGATCACAACATATCAGCAAAAATGGTACAATAGTATGACATAAACATATTTTGTTTGTGTTTTGAGATAAATTTTCAACAAAAATTTTGGAGAGAAGATTCATAAATTTTTTTGATATGTTTGATTATATATTTTGAAAACAGTTTTGAAATTTGAGAGTTTTGAATGATTTGATATTTTGTTGTTGTTGAGTAGATGTGTGTGAAAGAAAAAATAATTAAGAAAGAGAGAGATGAGAGAAAAAGTGATTGATTGATGTGTTGGAGAGAGAAAGTTATTTTAGAAAAAAATTTCAAAAAATTTACAACCAAACAAAATTTTAGAAATTTTTTTTCAAAAATATTATTTTTAAAGTTAAACCAAACAATGTCAATTTTTTTCATTTTTTATCTTTTGACATACCCCTCCAAACACACGGCCACCATCACCACCACCAATTCCACCATCCATTGAAAACTAGTTCAATAAAATAAACAAATTGATCAGGTAATTTATCCAACATGTACTTTCAGCCCTATCCTACCTACTTAAACTTGTTTATTAAATGAGTAGATTCTGGTTAGGTTATTTTTAAGGCATAACTCGTTTTTTTTCTTATCCAAATCCATCCCTTCTAAACAAATAAATAATTGAATTACGACAGTTGTCTACAAAATACAAATACCTAATGTAAGTTTCAAACGTAGATGATCGTCATAATAAGTTCTCAACGTATCATATGATTCCCGCTCATGAAAATCCAAACTTTTTGAAAACCTTTAAAACAGACAAAATTCTAGGATTCCTCCTAGGCAAAAGTACTGTTATGCAACATATCAACATTTTTCTTTTTGTTTTTCTTCATTTCAGAACTTAAAACAAGAGTTTGTGCCGAAGAAAGAAGAGAGAGGAAAGACAAGGAGGACTTTAAGGAAAGTTATGGGAGGACAAACTGCCATGAGAAATCTATTCAAGGGGAGGTCATGCCACACTTCCGGTCAAACGTCTTGTACCCACAATCGTAACCATCTTCTTGCAGGAAAAACGCCATCTTGATTATTTGATTGTAGATTTTCATTGTCTTTCTTCATTGGTGCAATATTATGTGTCGATGTTATCATTCTGAGTAAAGAGATGAGATCTATTATTGTCATTCTCAAATGTCACAAGGCGTCTGCGATTATTTTTAGAATGAAAATTAAACAAATCTTTATCCGATATTGTTTGCATCTTTTTTCACATGAGCCAAAATGTATTATCTGTTGATGAGTTAAACAAGACACAATGACATAAAACACCAGAATATAAATTCTTTCAATTTTGTTCGATGTTGTGAATTTGATATTCATGTTTTCTGGTAATTGCATGAGGACAATTTAATTACTTTGAAATTATAATCAATGTTTCAAATTGGATTTTTTATTAATTACTTTGAAATCAGATGTAATTTCATTCATGAAGGAGATAAGATTTTAGGGCTATTGTATCTTTATTTTTGCTATTTTATAAGTAATAGATAACTAAGGGATATTTTATTTTAGTATAGAATATTCTAGATAGATTAGGTTTATCGAAGTGTATTTACTTGATTTTCTTATTTTATTGATTTTGATTTAGTTTTCCTTTTCATTAGTTTGGGAATTGGTATGCAATGTAAAACAAGTATTGCAATGATACCAACCCAAATGGTGACGGACAACTTTTGGTGAATATCTTTCAAAGTGCAACTTAAAAAGTCGATTTATTAACTTATTTTAATCATATCATTTATTTATTTATCTTTTTTATAATAAGAGCGGGCACACACACAAAAAAATAAAAATTAAAAAAAATCAGCAATTGTTCATGACTGTACTTGTTCATTTTCATTCCATACATTCTCTGCATCAATTCTCTTTCGAATTTTAATTCTGTTCAATTTTAAACATGGTTGTATTTCTTATTGGTAATATCAAACTTAAAATGAATATACTTTTCTCCCCCACCCAAAAAATTAAATTAAATTAAATTAAATCAAATTAATACAAAAATAAACAACCTCCAAAAAAATAATAAATAAAGTTTCAAGTTTCTAATTTTCTAGACCTGTTTTGTTGTCCTTGATCATCTGGTCATCTCAGAGAGAGAGAGAGAGAAGATTTAAAATACAAAAAACAAAAATGAAATGATATATAATCAACTGCAAATCAAGAACCATCATTAATTGAAGCTTCCATTCTTATAAATAAACAAACACAAGTTTTCACTTCAACATCACAACATTACATAAATTTTCTTATCTGTCTCTCCCTCTTGTCAGCATTTTTCATCTCTCACCTACCTCCCTCATCAAGTTTTACTCTCTCTCTTGCCTTACTTTTTTTTCTTTTTCTTTTTCTATCTTCTCTCTCATCCTCATCAGCAATGAGGTTGTGAGCAAGTGAGACCGATGTTGTGCCACGCCCACAACCGGCATCACCATGGAACAATAGCCGCCGCTGCTTCCTAGCCCGCATGAACCTACTTGTCACAAATGAAAAAATCTTCAAATTATTGAAATCAATTGGAGCAGAGGGCAAGTCTACATAAGCTCCAAAGGCATATATGATATTGGGCTAGAATTAGAACACCTTAAATTCATTATCACCACATAAGGACAGCTTCATGGGAGGGGTTTATAGGTCTAATTGTGAAAATTTTGGCAGGCAGATATGAAGTTCGTCACAAGCTTTTGTGAGATGTATTTGGAAGTTGTTACAGGTTGTGGTTGTATTGGGGTGTTTTCGGGTCAATTTGAAGCACTTCAAAACATAAAGCAATTCAAAACAGCAAGATTATCAAACACTTCAAAAACATCAAAAGTACATAGAACACAAATAATCCAAACCAGCAAACATAAAGCAATACATTGAAGCACTTGAAAACACTAGCAATTCAAAACAGATTTAATCATCACAATGAAAAGCTGAAGAGATGAACCTGTCATCCTCCAAAAACAGCTGCAGATTCTTGGTCTTCATCAAGAACTCAATCGCTTCCTCGTTAAATTCCAAAACGAACCCCAATTTGATCAGCTCAGCCAGTTCGCGTATATGATCTTCTTTTTCCCACAATAGTCCCTCCGAAATTGCTTCAGAAAAACAAGTAGCATATTCAATGATACTTCTATGGCCACCCGACCTGTCCATCTTCACCGTGAACAACTTCTTACTCTCTCTCTCCCAACGGATCATTGGCTTCACTTCTTTTTTCAATCTTTCCCCAGAAGATAGAGATAAACTGTAACCAATCGTAATTGGTTCATTTGTCTCAATTACTGTGAGATCAAGCAAGCTTCTGACAGCTTCATGCCTCTGTTCTTCTTCCATTTTCAGAGAGAAACCAGAAAGAAATCCAAGAATCAGTTTAACCAGCCCTTTTCCAATCAAAATTTCACTCGGATTCACTTGCTCAAGTCCATCACCATCCATGGTAGATACTTCTTTTAACACAGACTCAGAGATGTTCCGGACACCAGTTTTGCTGTAAATTTCAAGCAGCATAAACCGAGGCAATGATGGCAAGCTTGGCTGGGGGTACCAAACAAAAAGCGGATTGGATGAAGACTGTTCAAAAAGATCCTTCAGCTGAAGATCATCCGCGATAAAAACATCGCGCTTGTCAACCAACAAAATTTCATCTGAACCTGAAAATACAGGCAGTTTCAACAAATTTTCAGCAAGTGTTATCTCTGTTTTCGAGCTCCAATGCTCCATAACAAATTTCCAAAAAGCACAACACTCGCGATGTGACAATCTCTTTCCAGAACATTCCCAAACCTTCCAGAGCTTGCAAAAGTCATCAAGCGAAGGATGGGATTTAACTTCCAAAGCATTTGAGAAAAACCTGAGTAATTTCGAGTCATAGTAATTCTCCAACACCTTCAATTGCAAACCAAATAGACCATCCTTGTCATAGAGAACACATTCTTCGGGTTTTACCCACTCTCCATCATCGCTTCCATTTGGGATCCACATTTTTCTTGTATCTCCAGAGTCTTGTACCCAATTGAACTCTCTCAAGTAACTATAGATTCGAACAATAGTGGCGAAATTGGAACGGGAATTAAGGTAGCGGCCAAGCAAAGAACACCCATTTCTAACATCAACAGTGACTTTTATTGCATTGAGCTCTTTACTGTAGGATGTAATCTTGGGGCCATAAAATTCTTCATCAATGAATGGTCCATCCTCCGGTTGTAAGAACTTACTCCAATTAGAATCAAACAGCAAACACTCTTCGGGAGACATATAACCAGCACTGGTTTTCAACCATTCTTTAGAAACTTTCTTCAGAAAGGGATCAGGTAAAGGGTCATTCTTCTGTTGCAGTAAGTTGCGGACACATTCAAGCAATGCATACACATTTGTCGGAGTTATGTTGCTCGAATCACTGGGTAAATAAATGCCAGCAGCCACAAACTTGTAACCATCCTTGAAATCAAGAACCACTCTCATACGCTTCAGCTCCTTTTTATATTCATGAATGCCCTTGCCGTAGTAATTGTCACTATCGTCAATGAATGGAAGCAAAGTGATCGGAGAGATAGATTCCCATTCGGGGCCAAACAGAATGCAGTCACTTGGCACTCTGTAATCACCAAGACAAGTTCGCAACCATTTAACCTCGCGAATACATTTCTTCAGATCATCGGGGAATTTAAAAGCTGTACCATTTAGCTTCCTGCAGCACAATAGAAATGAAAGAACATTATCTTTATTGATGGAAGACTTTTCGGCCTGTTGCTTGAAAACCCGAGAAAATGCCTTGGCTGCCTCCTCGAAATCCACTACTACCCCCAATTGCTTCAACTCATTTTGGTACAACACAATGTTGGCCCCATAAAAGTTCTCGTCGATAAGTGAGAAGCCATTGAAAACCTCCAGAAGACAACCCCATTGAGAATTGAATAGATACGATTCAGATGGAGCCTTGTAGCCCATGTTTGTTTTCAAAAATCTCTCTCCTTTAAATGCACTAACAATTTTTTCAGATGAACTTAAATGTTTTAAGCATTTCAGCACGAAAAGACCAGACTCAGCTGTCAGAGCACTGATGTTGTTTGCTGGAGATTTTAGATTGTCAGCAACAAACTTGTAATTTTGATTGAAGCCAATAACCACACCGAGCATCTCAAGTTCTCTTTTGAAATTAAGGATTTCATCACCGTAGAAATTTTGATCGATAAATGGGATGTCACTGATCTCCGATGCACCTTTCCACTCCTCATTGAACAGAACAGATCCAACTGGGGAAATATAGCCAAGTGTTGTTCTTAGCCATCTTCCTTCCCTGATACTATGAATAAAGTCGTCGGGAGAAAGAAGTTTCTCTCTCAAAAACTTTATAAATGTCAGTATCGAAACCACATTCGCTCTCGTTAGAGTCGTAGAGGCTGCGAGAGCCATGAGATGCTTCCCAATAAATTGACAAACCTCGTTATAATTGAACATCACTCCAATTGCTCCAAGCTCATCCTTATAACCATTTATTTTATCACCATAGAAACTCAGATCAATTATCGGAATATCAACGAGCACAGATTCATTCTGCAGAAGTTGTCCCCAAGACGAGCTTGGCAGAAACGACTGTGATGGAGGCCTATAGCCAAGAATGCCGTTCAAAGAGACTTTTAACCAGTTTCCCTCCTTTATGCATTTCAAGAACCGAACCGGCATGTTAACCCCTTTCCTTCTCAACCTCCGAATCCAATCCAACAGTAAGAAAGTGTTCTTCTTGGTTAGCAGAGCAGACATTGTAGGAATTACTGCGTTGGGAGGAGATATATCAGGGACATCAGAAGCTCCAACGTACCTTTTGAGGAAATGAATGAGTGAGTTCTCAGGGGTAGAAACACCTGCAAATTTGCCTGAACACAAATAGTCTTCACCGAGCTCAACAAAACCATCTTCTCTCCATGGATTCGATCCAATCAGGCTAACCCATTTGCTTCCATTAGCAGGAACAAGAACCCCTTTTCTTGCCGCCATCACTCGCCCATAGTTATCTACAATTGGCATGCTGGCACACAAATTAATAACCTCTTGCTCGGACAAATAGTTCTTCGAAAGAGAGTGATATAAGAAATGAACATGGACAACAGCAAGGTTCCGATCAGTAGCAGCCAGCATATTAGTAACAAGAGCTGCAAGATTGTACACGTTTACAGACTCGACTTTCATTTCGTCTGAAAGCCATTTTAACAATGTATGCCTCCTAGAACATAGCTGGAT